TAAGGTGTTTCCTCATTTTTTGCTCCAACATTTTGATCATAGTCACTAACCCAAGTATTTTCTAGGTGAGGGAGGCGATGCAGAAGTACCACATAGACCCCTGCTGTATCTTGGCTTCCCAGCCTGTGATATACTCTCTCTGCTTCTTGGTTCACCTTGTTATAGCAAAATATCAGGCAACAGAGTCTGTCTATGACTCCCAGGGTGCCTTTTGCTCCCTCACCAAGCTGGTGTCCTGGAGTACCCGATGCTGTGTCTAGGTAGGTTTATTTTCTCCCCTCCCAGCTAGGAAAATTGCTTCTCAGTATTTCAAATGTTTCCTCTTTTGTACAAATAAATCCAGGCTGAAAGAAAGGCTCTTATCTGGTCTGGATGCTGGGAGCACCATTCAGCATCTCCTGGCTGGGGAGTTGCCTGTGGGGCTCCATGGTGAGAAGGCTTGTAAGGGGCAGGGACATTTTCTTGACATCCATATGTGCTGTATCTGGCCTGCAGGCCCTAATTTCTGCTAATCCTTCTAGACACCCTGGTAATACGTGTGTGAGAGGAATTTCAAGGGGACTGCCCAAAACCCAGACAAGTGGCCAGTGCTGGGTGTTTCTGTGTGAGGTTCCAGCATGTGGTGGGGAGTTTGAAATTTGCGCTGCGTGAGGAATAGCCCCAGACTAAATATCATCTGGGGGGTTTGTCTCATGACCGACCGATCTGGGAAGGAATGTTCTGAACTCTCTTCTTAATGCTACGTGGCTTTGTTCCGACTTGTATATGTTTAGGGCTTTAAAATGTTCTCTTCCCAAAGGGATCATCTGTTCTTGGTTAGCTACCACGAGGGCATTCCATGGCTCTGGTGGATTTGAATGGATAGAAGGACTTGTCATAAAAGACTCTTAACTCCCCAAAGGCTTTAACAAAATATATTTTTAATTAAGTTTAAGAAGGTGACCTGAATGCTGCTGAACAACATGATCCACAAGCAGCTGGGCTGAAATCTGTTCTTGTTGGGAAACCATTTCTATGTATGCCAATACTGCAAGAGCAAATATTGACTTACAAGTATTCTATTTGCATTTATGAAGATTTTTTTCTCTCTCTCTTTCTTTATTTCTTTTTTTTTTTTCTAAGTATCAGTTCTTTTCATGTGGAGCCTTCCGGATAAATCACCTTTGTAAATTCCAAAGTTTGTTGACATCCTTGTCCTCAGGGTGTGGGTGTGCTTCTAGGAGCTTTCATGAAAACATAAAGAGAAGATCATCCTTGTTTTGCTGGGACAAAGAATTGCAGATTTTCTGGGGGGGGTCTGGACGTTTGGATTGCCTATTTTCAGTGGTTTCCATATATGCTTACAGGTGGTCTCTACACAGCTAGTTCCTCCTTCATTTCTCTCTGTCTCAAAAAGGTCACAGTATCAGCTTCCAGATCAATATTTAGTGAGTTCCAGGAAAACTTGCCTCTGGTACAGCTGCTGTTACGGAGCCCAGGAGACTGGCATACAGATGCACCATCTGATACCCAACTAATCTTGCTTCCCGCAGCTTTCCAGCAGAATATAGGAACCATGACTGGAGCATCCCAACTCTGCAACTCTCTTACACCAGCCTGCAGATTGCCTGCTCTTAGGCTGTTGTTTAATGTTACTGCCAGCTGGATCAGTTCCCTCTGACCCCAAGAGGGCTTGTGATAGGCCCACGTGCTGGTAGACAGAGCTGCTGTTGGGATGTGGCTGTGGCTGGGCAGAATGGTTCCTATTTACAAGAGGCCAGAAAGCTGCCAGCGTTGGGTTGGGAGGGTCAAAGCACAAAGTCAAAGCACACCGCTCATCTCAGGGGTAGCCAGAAGAAAACGTAACCAGCCAGAGAGGTAGCAGCACGGCTGCCACATGTGAGCTGCACCTCCTCTTGCACAGTACCGCCTGCAAGGAGAGCTTGCAGGGATATCCTGCCAGCACAGGGAGGCTAGAGTCGGGTTCGCCTTGAGATTTGTACTTCAAACTGCGCTACAGTCCCTTCATACCAATCTTAAGTGGTTGTCACCAAAACCACCAGGGTAATGCTTACGAGGCCAAGAGCTCGTTCTGACTTGGAGGCCGCAGAGCAGTTAATCTTGCTAAGTGTAAAACTTACTGCAGTGACTCTAAGCGCTGGCAACACTCGTGTGTGAATGAGGGGCGGTTACAGCCTTGCATGGGACTGATATTTCACATCTCTCTCACACGGGCCAGGCCAGCAGCTCCTTGCTGACGGCTCTCACCAGAGGTAGGTGCACTGAGGGGCGATGGAGGAATTCCCAGCTGTGGGACCTCCTCTATTTGCAAGCACAGAGGGATGAAATGCCTTCAGGTGTTACAGATCAGCTGCTTGCAGGTCACTCTGAAAGATGCTACACTTCAGTGTCAGGTTAAGCGGTTCCTATATATATGTGTGTATATGTTTGCATAAACTGGCTTTATGTGCCTGTGTAACAGCACAGCCTGGATGAAAGCTTCCCAGAGGATGCTTTGGAGCAAGCGTTGCCCCACGCGAAGGACAGAAGGAAAAAAGGAAGGAACAGCTAGTATTAAACCTTGTGCACCCATTGCTGTTTAGAGTGGAGAGTGGCACAGCAGACAGAGCAGCAGATGGGTGAGAGGAGGCAGATGTTGCATTGTACCTTGGAGAAGACAGTGGTGCCTAGAAGAAAGCCCTCCCTTCCTAGAGGGGATGTGCTGTGGCCTTGCACTTCTCCTGGGTCGCTGCATCTCTGACCAGCTGCTGTTCGCAAGCTCATCCTTGGGGAGCTAGGCACTGGGTGATAACCTGACCCTGTTGAAAATAGCAGCAAAACTTTGCCAGACTTGAGCGGAGTCAGGATCAGCCCCACAAGGCCCGGTATTTGGTGAGGTGCACTGGCACCGACAGCTGCGGAGCAGTATTCACCAGCGCTGCTGGGACAGATGGGAGTGCCCAGCCAGGCAGAGCACCTGGGGCCATTGTGAGGAAGAACTGGCCGGGGGGGGGGGGGGGGGGTGAAAAAAAAAGGAGAAAACCACATGCACATTCCACAGCACAATGGAGCCAAGCGCCGAGGCGACGCTGTGGTCCAGGCCCATCCTCCGAGAATGAAACCGCTCTACAGGAATACCTGAAAGAGGAAGACTATAGTTAAACTTCCAGTTCCCCCAGAAGGTAACACACAATAGGCAGCCATGAGAAGATGTTTCCTGCCCTCCTATTGTTCCCCTTTCCAGGACCTGATAAAGCTTCGTGCACGCTGAGTGCTAGAGGACATACCTTCTAATTACAGCGCGCGGCAAAGAGCAAAGCACATCTGTGTTGTGTTCATTAGCCTTGGAGCCATCACCAGAGCACCTGGGCGAAGGTGTTTCTAGCAAGCACGTGCTGCTGGCAGCGTTTCTTGGTCTCATCCCATCGCTCAGCTGGTCTCACGAGCTGTCCCAGTCCCCCACTCCTCGTTCCCGTTGCCTAGACAGCTTCAATCCTGCTATAGCCTGGTGGGGTGGAGAAGATATTCCCTGCCTGCTCACTGGCAAACGTATAGGACATCTCCCTTCCAGGTTAGGGGACCAGTCCTATCCTCAGTCTTTGTCTGTCTTTATTTCCTCCCTTTTCCTGGTCCCAGCTTTTCTCTCCTAATTAAATGGTAAAAACACGTGGGAGCCAAGCCAGGCACGAATCATTTTAGCGGAGCAATTAGCCGATGTGAGCGAGGAACAATTAGCGCTGCGCTCTGGAATTTGGCCATTGTGCCTCTCATTGTATGTTTTTGCCTTAAAAGGGGGCCAGCGTGTTGGGAGGAGAGCGAGGGCCCCTGTTCGCAGAGCAGGGCTGACATTTGCACTATGTTAGTCATGCTACATGTCAACATTTTTGTGAGCTTTCCAAAAACAGAAATTCTAATGGGATGTTTTAATCCCATCTTCACCCCCGCACACCCCCCTCCTTCCCCTTTCAACTCCCACCTCCCTCCTCCTCCTCCCAGCTTCTAATACCACCCTCTCGTCTTCAGCTCCCGGAAACCAGGCAAAATCAGAGCAGCAAAATTCCTATTTAAACTAACATCACATGAAAAATGAACTGTTACTTTTAATCCCTTTCGCAGGGGGAGCGGGAAGGGAGAAAACAAGTTCCCGGGTGCGCCGTGGGGCAGGGGCTTTCTGAGACCACCAAGGCAAGCTGGGGAAGCCGGCGAGTGATATTGCCTCACTCGGCTACCTTTGACAAACACATTGGAGACCCCAGGGGCAAGGAAGCAGCCAAGAAACAGTGGGGGCCCAGAGAGAAGCCAAGCTCCCTGGAGGCAGCCAGCGTTTGGAAATAGCCTTGGCAAGAGCCTATCGAGGCCGTGGCGACACACGCATCTGCTCCGTGTTGGACGGAGAGGCCGTGCACAGGCAGCGGTGGGACTATCGCTGCTGGAAAGCAGGAGGGTGGCTCTGGCTGAGCCCCGGAGAGGGAGCCACGGCGTGTGGCAGGACGTGGGGACGGTGGAGCCATGGTTGGGGACCACAGGCTGACACGGTGTCTGGGGCAGTGCGGAGGTGGCCTCCCCAGTGACCCATCAGCAGCACATGGCCTCACACTGTGCTGGTGCATTGCAAATGCAGCCAGGACCCAGGCCACGAGCAGACACGGTATTGCATGGGCCAAGGCGGGCAAAAGAGCATCCCATCTATCCCAGCTGCTGCACTGCATGGTGACTCAGAGTGGGGAGACTTAGGGAGGTATTAAGGCTGGCGATGAGGTGGAGGAGCCTCGGGAGCAGGAGGGAGCAGGGGCCGCCTGGGCTCGTTGCCGCTGCCCTGGGGCATGGCTGGGGCTAGCCCCAGGAGAGAGGTCTTGGCACAGCGCTGCCTGCAGCCCCAGGCGCAGCTGGGGCTCAGCTCGGAGCTGGGCTGATGCACGGCGTTTTGGGGCTGGAAGGCTGGCTCGCTCCAGGTGGCACCCCGTCCTGAGCTGCTCCCTCCTTTGCTGATGCCTCCACCTGTTTTGGACAGGTCTCTGTACCCCTCTGGTCTCCCCAGCGGCCGCTGAAGACCATGCAGCCCAGACCTGGAGACCCCTAACTCACGGCTGACCGTCCTCTGGGAGGGCGATAGGAGCAATCTCTCTTCGTCTGCTGTTTCTTGTGCTTTGCTCCTGTTGCTGCAGACAGGACACTGGACCAGCTGGACCTTGGTCCAACCCAGTCTGACGCTTGAGTCCTGCTTCCTCCTTGGGGCAATCTCCAAGCCCGTCCCCTGATGTCAGCTCCAGGCTCAGCTCCAGAAAGACAGCGGAGAGAGAAGCAGGAAAGGGACATGAAGAAATCGGGGGCCATAAAAAATCAGAGGCCCAGAAATGAAAGGTCGGGAGCTACAAGCTGCTCTGACCCCATCTCTGGCTGGAAGCAGCTTCTGGGACAGGCTGGCCGTCATCTGCGAGCAACGCAGTAAAATGTAACCTCAGCAGGGTCCCAGGCAGAGATGGCCGGGCGCCGTGGCTGACCCACCGCCAAACCTCCCAAG